GCACTGGGTGTTATACGCAAACAATGAATCATGGATCACTACATCAAAAACTAATGATGTAATGTATGGTGATTAATATAACATAATAAAATTTAAAAAAGAAAAAAAATTAAGTTGCAAAACTAGGTATTTATTCAAAGGATACAAATGTTGTGGTTCAAAGGGGCACATGTACCCCAATGTTTATAGCAGCAAAGTCCACAATTGCCAAAATATGGAAAGAGCCATCAACAGGTGAATGGATAAGAAGATGTGGTGTGTGTGTGTGTGTGTGTGTGTGTGTGTGTGTGTGTAATGGAATATTACTCAGCCATCAAAAAGAATGAAATCTTGCCATTTGCCGCATCGTGAATGGAACTACAGTGTACTATGCTAAGCCAAATAAGTCAGTCAGAGAAAGACAAAGACCATATGCTTTCACTCATGTGGAATTTAAGAAACAAAACAGATGAACATAAGGGAAGGGAAGGAAAACTAATAATACACTATATGCTAATTAAATTGAATTTAAATAAAAATTAATAAAATTATGTTGCAAAACCATGTATACAATGTTTCCATTTATATCAAGCACTCATATTATATGTATAGTCTCTACAACTAGATTTATGTATATGTATATGCAACTGCACTGAAAATGGGCAAAAGACACACTTAACTCGTAACAGTGCTATGTCTCTAGAGGTGCTTATCGAAGATACCTGTAAATTTTTTAAGAAAAGTGTATTTGTGTGTAATTTTTATAATTAAAGGCTAATTTTAAGAATCAAGGGGAGAAACTGTGAGGGACTGTTCTCATGCAGGGTAGTGGAAAAGTGGAATCAAGTTGTAGATGAGAGGATGACAAACCTGGTAGGATCCACTTCAAAGCTAACATGCTGCCAATCAGTGGATGTGATCACAATTCGTAATAACGGATCCAGGAGTTTTTGTAGGTAGGTAGCACCATATACCTAAAGAAATATAAAAGTAGGAATTTATTATGCCTTCACCAAATGTCTTGCATTAAAGATATTCTGTTCTGTATGTTCTGCATGTAATCAGTTTGCCATAGCTTGGCGCAAAAAAAAGATAAATGGATACAAACCTTGAAACAGAAGGTCATTATTTTACTGGCTAAGCTGTTTCCTCGGAAAAGAGTCTGCATGGAGTCTGCCAATTCTACTTCCTTAGAAAACATGTTCCAGAGCAGTTGGTAGAGTAAATGCCGAGAATCAAATAGAGTCACTAGAACTCGAGCTAGTTCATCCTGAGAACAAAACAAAATTGTTAGTGTGCATAATTCCATTTTTTCTTCACCAGGAAACTGAAAGGTAAATCCAAAGCTGTCAACCACCTGCTAAAGCCAATTCAATGGTGACTAATTAATTTTTCCCCTGGTATTTATCTGTATACATTTGTCTATGATAGACGACTATTTCTTCATGCCTACAGCAGCTGTTAATTCTTTTTTAAAAGCAATTTGTTTATTTAAGCAATTTCTACACTCAGTGTGGGGCTCAAACTCACAACCCTGAGATCAAGAGTTGCACTCCTCCGACTGGGCCAGCCAGGCACCCCAGCAGCTGTTAATTCTAAAGATTAACTGATGAAAAATAAAAGAAGCCTAGGCTTTACCAGGAGAAGAAAAAAATCCAGGATTCAGTTCAAATTATGACAAAATCAAAGAGAGCAGAAATAGAACACGATGGCAAAGTTTGATTTGTTTTATATGCCCAGATCATTTTCTTAGGAAATCAGTGAGCAGGAATAACACTTTGGTGACCACAAAACCTCTATTCTCTGTTCACGTGGTCAGGGAAAGTCAGAGCATACTGAACATGGGCTCAGCAGAGAAACAACAAAAATGGAAAGACTACAGGATTTGCAGGAAGTCAGGAAAAAGATTTGGGCTGTGCATTCAGAAACAAGAGATTAGCAAGATTTATGTACAAAGCCAGGGTTGGCAGCTGATTCCTACCTAACTGGTAACTCTCATAATTCCCCATAGTATTTTTTGGTACACTCAAGAAAAATGATGTCATAGTAAATCATTGTTTAACCACACATGCTGCAAAGAGATTTACAGAGAATAGGGGTAGCCATAAAAAGAGGCCCCACCCTTCAAGCAGTGACAACAAAGTCAAGATCATGGCCCATAGCCCTTCTAATTCTTACCTGATCAATTCTGATATCCAAGTCAAGGAAAAAATTTCACAATTCTAAACACAGAATCTAGAAGCCAAAGAAGACCCAAATATTCTGCTCTATGCCCTACAGTTATGTTACATGTATTTGACTAGATATAAAAATTCCTCCATTTTAAAATCAAGTATAATTATGAGCGATAATTCAGTTACAAAATATGTTTCTAGAGTACTGTGCTTATTTTTTCCCCCATTCTAATCCCTCCTCTGCAAAGTTCTGAAAACGTTAACAGAATTTAAAATTTACAAAAGAGAATTACATTTTTTTAAAAAAGTTATCTTGTATTTGGTTCTCCTTTAGATATAGCTCTAACAGATCTGGCCTAATACAAAAGTCTTTCTCAAAAAAAAAAGTCATATGAAACTCATTAGAAATGATTTACTGAAAGAAAACAGAATGAATTAAAGTTTCTTGGATTTAACTGATTCTTTTTTATTAAGAGAATTACTGATAATTTTTAGTGCTGACTAATTACAGGTAGGTCCTAAAAAGGTAATTTAGAATATCCATTTTCAAAACATATGAAGATTTCTGCAGTGTTAGATTTCAAGAGAATTTCAATAAATTCAATAAATTCCTTGTTCTAACTCCAAGCGGGATTCCACCTTTGTTCGTTAAACAATTATTTACTGTGTCCTTGTTATGTGCCAGGCTCTACTCCGAGTACTACAGCAGTGAACAAGACAGCCAAGGTCTCTGCTTTCACAGGGCTCCCGTTATGGTAGAATGAAAAATAATTTCACATAGTCAATAAATGCTACAAAGAAAACTGAACAAGGTAATGTGATGGAATGACTCTAATTGTGGTTCTTGCCAGATGGCCAAAAAGACCTCATTAAAATAGAGACCCCTGCACTGAAACTTGAGTAACAAGAAAGTTGGCCCCGTAAGAGATCAGGGAAGAAGCATTCTAGGCGGTGGCGGGGGTGGCGGTGGCAGCAAGGCTGCTCCCTAAGGTGGAGGTAAGCCTACCATGTTTGATGGCCAGCACGGTTTAAGTTTGGTGAACAAGAAGGAAAGTGGCATGAGACAATGTCAGCAATGAGGCAGAACCCAGGCTGGGTAGAGTCTTGTAAAGCCAGAGTAAAGAGTTTAAATTTTGCTTTAAGTACGAGGAATAAGATCCTACAGCTTTTAAGCAGAAAAGGCAGTGACAGATTACCTTATTAGTTATAATTTACTAAACTGAAACCATTTTTGGTACAATATAAACTGAATAGCTTTTTAACATGGAAAAGGACAACCCTTCTCAAATTTCTAGCATATACTGTTAAAAAATAGTATGGTTTCAAGACAATTTTTTATTGAGAGGCCAAATAGGCCTATTATATCTTCATATTTAAAATAAGCAACATAATTTCAAATGCAAATATAGTGCTTACATTTTTTTAAAAATTGTACAGTGCATTATAGAAAAAAGAGTTGTGACCCGGACACACAAGCCTTCAATTCTAGCTCTAGCATTAATGACAACTAAATACAACCTTTAACCCTAATCATTTCATTTAATACACGAAAGCACCAGACCACGTCATGTTTGTTTGTTTAAGATTTCATTCATTTATTTGAGAGAGAGAGAGAGTAGGCATGCACGCACAAGTAGGCAGGGTGGCAGGCAGAGGGAGAAGCAGGCTCCCCATCAATTAGAGAGCCTGACCTGGGGCTTGATCCCAGGACCCCGGGATCTTGACCTGAGCTGAAGGCAGACGTTTAACTGAATGAGCCACCTAGGCGCCTCCACGTCAGGGGTTTTAATTTTCTTTTGATCAGGGTATGTATATGTATATGTAAATACACACATATTATACACATTATTAACTATCTATCTCCCTATCTACCTATCTACCTATCTATCTATCTATGCATCATCTATTTTGGGAGGCACCTGGGTGGCTCAGTCAGTTAAGCATTTGCCTTCGGCTCAGGTCATGATCTCAGGGTCCTGGGACTGAGCCCCGCCGAGCTCCCTGCTCAACAGGGAGTCTGCTTTTCCCGCTCCCTTTGCCCCTCCCCCCACTTATGCATGCATACTCTTTCTCTAATAAATAAAATCTTAAGTATATATATTTGATCAGTGTTTAAATGGAATATTTCAGTGGAACAGGGAAGGAATCTGAGTTTCACTCTAAGTATGAGGAATAAGATCCTCATAGTTCAGGCAAGATCACTACTGAGGCTCCAGCTACTTTCCCACAGCTGAAAACCACTCAAATAATATCTGAAGTTTCTTTCAGCTCTAAAGTTTTAGCAATACATGAAATAAACATTCCTGGAGTGAATAAATTCAGAAGCATGTGCCAGGTCCTGGTTCCGCACTTCTTCAATGAACTCACCCACTGAGAACACGGGACCACGTTGGCCAGCGCCATGGCTATCGGGAGCTCTCCCTGGTCTCCCATCATCGTGACCAATTCTACCAGCCTCTCAAACCGGTCGGCCAGCACCGTTTCTGCAAGTGTGTCAAATTCTGTGCCTTGCTGGAGGATTTTTGTCAGAACTTCCATAAATGTAGCTCTTGTCTGAAGATCTTTATGATAACCTAAACCTGATAAAGACAGATAGATGCAAATTTACTAACAGAGCCTGTTGAAGTAATTTTCTTGTCTTACATGCCAATTCCCTAGGTTTTCAATTTCTAGAGGAAGCTTTCATTTTCTCTCACCTATGGAGTGCATGAGGCCACTGTCCACATTAGCATTGAGTAAGTTTGACATGGCGAGGACCGTACAGTGCCTCAGTGACGCCAGCCTCCGAGACATGCCACGTTTCCTGCCACCTGTTTGTGCATTTTCATCTTCAACTTCACTACAGTCATTCAAAAGGTTCATGAACAATGTGAAATACCTGAGAAATAAAAAGACTGACTCTTACATAGTGAAGGCCACACCAACCAGAAGACTAATCAGATATTCTGGAATCATGATATGTGCATCACATGAGTGGTCTCGGGTATCTGTTTCTCTCTAGCCCTGGAGTAATCAGCCAGTGTGGCTCATTATGAAGTGTGCTGTGCTGAATATGATTTTATCCTGACAAAGCCAGTACATATTCATAACACAGGCACGAAAGAGATGCAATCTTTCCTGGTCAATGCATCACTTTTAGTGTTTACCATATAAAACGAGTGGTCCAAATAGTTTAGAGAATGCTATTTTAAATGACTTAATGAGGTGATCTGGGTTTTATTGCCCATAATTCACTGCTTGGATTATTTTCTTTAAAAACACAAAACACATAGTTGTTTTCTTAACCCAGTCCTGTCACAGGGAATACTGCTTCATGCCTGGGTTATATTTTACAGGCAGCTGCCAATAATGAGGTCCATTTTCTAAATATAATCATTTGCCACTTTGGTTAGATTTTGTTTTGTTGTGTGTGGGCTTTGTTTTTTGCTTTGCCTTTTTGGGGACTGAAATTTACTTAAGAAATAACTGTGATTTGGCTTCCATCAATTCCACACCATCTCCTTCCTCCGGCTGCAGTGGAAGACCAGCCAGGAGTGAAACTACCGCTTCCATGCTCGCCTGGTCCAAGTCTCTGAAGAAAGAAAATTTAAGGACCATATAAATCTTTCAGGTTCTTCCACTCCACCCTCCCCTCAAATAAACACCTTCCTAAGAGAACGTTAGGGATTTACGAATAATCTATTTCATTTAACTATTTATTAGGACAACCTAAATAATTTGAGTTAACACGCGCACCCAGAATGCAAAAACATTTCAAGTGAGGGAGAAGGTGATAACTTTCATAAAACCAAGCCTCACAAAAGAAATATATGTGAATGATTATGTAGTTTGGTGTTTAATTATTTTCTGCTATGTGGCAATAAGTATTTACTATTAGAGCAAATGCAGGGAATTACTTTTTAGAGAGACTCAAGCCAATTAAGTTCCTTAAATAATACCTTCATTGATTATAAAATAAATACAATCTAAGGCTTTATACATTTTATTTTCCAACAACTATACACTATCCTTCCTAAATAACACTAACTTTCCAAATAAAACTTTCTCACATTTGATTTTACTGAAAGTCTTTCAGTTAAAAATAGAAAATAAAGATTAATATATATATAATTCAAATGCAAAAGCCTGATATCCAAAAAAGACATAATAGCTATGAAGTAGTTATCAACACCCAAGTAAACCTGCTAATACTTAATTAAAAGTCATTCTTTTATGTTTTTGTTCTGTTTTGTTTTTTACCTTGTAAGACATTTTACATCATCATCTGCTGCTTGGTTTGATGTTCCCATTACCCAGTCTGTCAGGTATTCTACCATCTTATTCCTACAGAATGGTAGGGAAAAGGAAAAGAGCAATTTTTTAAGTCGCACATACACCTTTAGTCAATATTTTTTTAAAGTGCAAACAGTTTGCCAAATCACTCAGGGGCTATGACAGTTTCATAAAAGAGATACCACTACTCCAACCCTCACAGTCAGAAGGGCACTCACAGGCAACTTGGATACTGATCCTCCACTGATACTGATTCCCTTAGCCAGGGTATCAATTTGGAAACAGAATCAAATTCTTAACTCAAGTATAATTTAGAAAAAGGGACCACTGCCATGGGCACAAAGCTTTGGGAAATTTGAAAATACAGGAAGAGAAAAATAAAAACGTAAAATGCTGCTTTTCCATCCCCCTTCCTCCTTTCCCATGATAATCAAGTACCTACTATTTTTCTGTACTTCATGTAACATAAGATTTATAAGACCCCACTTTGCTCTTTTGAGAACTCACCTAAATTTCATCTCTTGACAAAATGAGAGGTCATCTCTCCTTGCCATCATTACCTCGACTAACTGACACAGTTTTGTTTTTATTTGAATTGCATGGACCATATTCCCAAGCACACGAACATATCTATTTAGACACAGAAACATTCAGGGGGAAAAAAATATCAGATACAAACAAAAGAGAAGGTTTTCTAAATGCTTTAATCTCTCAGTGAAATGATTAAATGTAACTACAAAAACTGCAGTGTTTTTATTTTATTTATAGGCGTACATACATAACTTCTGGTTACCTTATTGTCACATCCCAATTTGGGTACAATAAAGAATGGTAAATTATTTCCCTAATAACTACCAATACTGATGTGTTTCTGTTACATTTCAGTAGAATCCTTACCTGACTAGATTTAACATCATTGTTTCAATGCTAGCTTGCCCCAGATGTTCCGAGCTGCCTTCAGTATGATTATCTAGTAAGTTCTTCATTATAGCTATGGTTTGCTCCACAAATTGAGTATTGGTGTCAGTCAATAAAACCTATATAAAGAACAAAATACATTTTGGCATCAAGGCATAGCAGACAGACCATAGAGAGATGAAACTGCCTGACCTAAATGTCATACACATGCAGAAATGCACCCACAGGCATATATCCAAACAGGTGCACAGACACACAGAGACACTCATACCCACACCCAAGACATTCGTAACCCCTGGCACACCCACACACTAGAGTTGCCAAAACCCAAAACTGATCCCTACATTAGATGATTCTTTTTCTGCAATTTTTTGCCTATTTTTAAAAAACTGTGAGTGATGTTCATGCCAATATTTAATGAAATAATCAAAAAGAAAAAGGCTTCATTATCAAACAAGTCACTCTATTCATAGGAAAGGGTGAAAAATAAAGCAGAGAACACTTTACCTGTCCTTGGGAGTCAAAAAACTTGCTGATGGTATTCTTCAATTTGTTAAACAGCATTGGATAAAGAGCAGGACTCAATTCAAGACCCACCAGATCCTTAACATTGGTCCGTATTTGAAGTCCCACTTTCTCATGGTTACACACCATTAAGGATAACAGCCGATCCATAAATTTGCTGACAGGTGTATCTGCATTTCCCTCTGAAGACATAACTGAAATCATGGAACCCTTGCGTTCACTGACTGGGCCCATGGGTGGGCTATAGGTTGCCAGGCCAGAATTGCTTCTCTGCTGCAGGCACACTCCCCCAAGGGCACAAAGGAAGCCAGTCATGTTGATCCATTCCTGTAGGGAGTCCGTGTCAGACAAATCTATGGATCCTCCTCCACTCACATGAGACATTCGCCTCTTAACAATGGTCTTGTGAAGGCTTTCAGCAGCCTAAACACAAAATTTTTATGGAAAGCATGAATTCAACCTCAAATGGTTGAGAGACTTGACAAAATTACTTTTTATCCAACATTTCTTCCATGACAAAAGAACATTTTTTACATTTAAAAAATCCAAGTCTTCACTCCACCATTTCTAGTCACATCAAGGTATCTTACTGCCCAAGGCCAGAATGGAGGTAGCGATGGACACACACGCAATATCAGACATAGAAGGAAGACTATGGACTGCAGCTCAGAAATACATACACTCCAATTATTTGCTTTTACCAATTCCTGGACAGAGAGGCAAGGTCTATGCTGCTTCAAGGAATATAAGCATTTGGAAATTTTCAACCAAGTAGTGTGTGCACTTATTAGTGATGGCCCAAGTTCAAGTGCTCTGGGACCAGCTTTGCAAACACTGTACTACTATTAACATAGATTCTGCGTGGCAAGATGAGGGTCATCAAGCAAAAGAACCACTGAACAGAAAAAGGCTGGTAATGAAGGAAGTGCAGAAAGACAAGAAACAATAGAAAAAAAATCAAACTCTACAAGAATCTGAGAAGGAATCTTCAAAGAATTCTGATCCTGTTAGTTTATGGAGCACAGATGAGAAAGAAAAAATCTTACTATGTGTGGCAAAGATTTTTCAAATTCAATTCTCCTTACACACTGCTTACAAGCTAATACTCATCCTATTACTGAAGACATACCAACCCAAGAAAGCAACATATTAGGGGCATTCTGTGACATAAATGATATAGAAGTACCACTGCACTTGCTTCCTTATGTATGTTTGTTTCGTGGGAAAAAAACAGCCTTTCTCCCATGAAGGACTGCTTTGAATACAGAACTCCTGAAACTACCATTTCTTATGGCACATGCATTTACTGCAGTTGTAGCTAATATTAGAATACGGCTACTCTCCCACCTGTCGTGCAGCACATAATCCTTTTCAGGACCTAGGCTATACATATTTATGCAAGTTCTCTGAACAAGAGTAAAGACAGAATGCAGTTTGCAACATGGTGACTTAATGCGGACCACAGTTAAAGAACCATTGGATACAACGCTCCACCTGACAATGAAAGCCTAGTCTTGCATTTTAGTATTTTCTGTCACCTACTTTGTGAGGTTAGCTGGACTAAGTCAGATAATGGATCAGCTTCATACCTTCAGTGATTAGTGCAATAAGGAATCATTGGTATCAGACACAGAAATGTCCACTACAAAAGAACGTGCAGCTGGCTTATAAGCAACAATGTGGTAGAGCATATATTTAGACCAAATTTACATACTGAGATTATTAAACAGTGCCAAGTGATCCTGAATTTTTTTTAGCAGCGGAAGGGCAAATACTCGGCATATTGACTGCATGTGGGCTGCAGCAGTGCTGAAACACTGTAATCGGTGTATCCGTGACTTATTTCCTTTATTTATTAAGAATTTGGATCCAGTACCACTTAGACATCTCTTCAATCCAGTCTCAACTCTTGAGCCAAGTGCTCATGCTGAACAAACACTGTACTTGGCATCAATGTTAACTAAAGCATCATTAAAAAAAAAAAAAAGCATTATGGAATAATGCAATAGCAGCTAAGGCTCAGCTATCTAAACAAAGTTCTTCTGTATCTTTATTAAATACTAAATTAGGGGCGCCTGGGTGGCTCAGTCGTTAAGCATCTGCCTTCAGCTCAGGTCATGATCTCAGGGTCCTGGCTGGGATCGAGCCCCACATTGGGCTCCCTGCTCAGTGGGAAGCCTGCTTCTCTCCCTCTCCCACGCCCCCTGCTTGTGTTTCATCTCTTGCTGTGTCTCTCTCTGTCAAATAAATAAATATTTTTAAAAATGCTAAATAAATAATAAAATTAAATATTAAATTAATACTAAATTAAATAAATACTAAATTAAATAGGAAGAGCTCAGAGGAGCAGCTCCATCACCTTAGTCACCTGCAGCTGGTCCTTAAAGTATTGTTAATAGTGATACCCATCAAAGTGGAGGCAGTGACAATGAAATGGATAAACAACTTATTAATGGACCCAAACATGTGCAACAGCGACTTTCAGATACAGAGGAATCCATACAGGGAAGTACGATGAAACTGCCAACAGTGGTAAAGATGAAAGCAATGCTCCTGGTAGCAGTAGTGGGCACAGTGATGGATCTAGCAATGAGGTCAATTCTAGCCATGCAAGCCAGTCAGCTGGAAGCCCTAGCAGTGAGGTACAGTCAGAAGACATTGCAAATATTAAAGCCCTTAAAGAAGATGAAGATGACAATCATGGCCATAATCCTCCTAAAAGCAGTTGTGGTATAGATCTTCAGAACAGCAAGTTAGAAAATCAAGCAAGCATTTGCTTAGGGGATTCCCAAAGCCCGTCAGAAAAAAAAATGGGACAAGGGACAGAATAGGAAAGGACCTACTTTTTAACACTGAATCAATGCCATCAGTAGATAATCAAATACAAATGCTAGATGCCTGTTCATACTCTCCAGACCCAGAGCATGATACTTCAGGGGAAATAAACACTGCTCATATAGTACAAGCATCTCAAGAATCTTGTATTACACACAGGCGACTTTCTTGGGGAGACTACTGGGAATGAATCATTAAACTGCCTACACTGTGTTGGTCCCTAGCATCACCAGCACCACCACCATGATGGGCATATTGTTGATGATATGCTAGGTGCAGCTGATGTCAGTTGCAGTAGCTCCCAGATCAGTGCAAAATCAGGAAAAAACATGGCTGATTTTGATGAAGAATTTGGGTGTGAAGAGCCAACTAGTTCAGATTAATTCACATGCAGAACTAACATCTTTTCAAAAAAAAAAAAGAACATCTTTTCTCCAACAACATCTTCCCAATTTAGCATCCCATTTATGTCTTAGTCAAAGACCTACAGTCCATAAACATCAATTCAACAGTAATGCTCTAACAGACATTAATTTGTGTAACGTTTGCAAGAAATTTCCTTTCTTTCCACTTTATTGTGGAATACAGTTCAAGATATGACTCAATCTTTCTGAAGGATTAAAAAATCAAACAGAGAAACTTCTTAGTATGCTGGTTTACAGACAGATTCAAATGAGATTCACTGAAGGCTGCCTTGAAAATTTAAGCAACAACAGGCAGAGAGGAATTTTTTACATGGTTATCAAAATTCATTTTGTATATTCTTATTGACTAGGTGTGGTGAATTCACAGCATTTAATGTATTATTATCAACATGTGTTTTAGTAATTGTAGTTTTCACAATGGGTTTAAAGACTTTTCTCTCACAGGGTTTATATTTTATCACTCAGCCTCGATTTATTCAGCACTTTTTGCAACTCTAGATTAGGTCCCCTCCAACAGAAGCAATAATACTTATTCTCTTCTTGCCTCTTGGAACATAGTAGTGATTACTCTGTTTTCAAATTACAGTTAAATGTTCTTGAACTGTGTCATATTATATATTAAAAAAGGCTAAATAAGTTAAACTTAAGCTGAAATAGAAACATTTTGATAATGGCATTCTTCTTCCATCTGAGGAGATCTTTTGTGTCTTGACTTCTGCAGTACATAAAGAATTAGGTTAGTGTTTTTCTTTAGTTTGAATTCTGCTGTTTATTTATATACTTCTTAATGGGGTTCAAATGAACTATAAATTTCTGGCTTTTCAGGTCTGTGCCACTGGTATAATTTTACATTTCCCTTGATAATGTTCTATTCTCTGGCATAGTGAATTCAGTTATTAGTTGAATACGTTATATTATAGTAATATAATGTTTTCAGCTTACCTCTGCCCAGGCCTGATATAAATGTCTAATTTTAATGAATATTTAAGTACTTCAAAACATTTTTTTTACCTAATTGAATTAGAAAAAGTATATGCAATATTTTACGTTCTGCTCTTGGTCTTTAAAGGGCTCTAATTTGACAATCACAATAGAAAAACTGTTCATGTAGGAATAAGAAACCACTGATAGACCTCTGTTAGTGAATCCATTTGGCACATATTCTTTAAAAGGAATGCTTTTTTTGTTTCTTTCAAGTTTTTATTTAAATTCCAGTTAGTTAACATAAGGTGTAATATTAGTTTCAGTAAAAGGAATGTTTTTAATGGCTAGATGATATTTCACCATTTACAGAGGTGCTATAGCAGTTAATTTAAAAATGTTAATTGTCTTTTAAAAATCTTTGTGAAACCACCAGTTTTTTCAAGCAGTTGTATCAATTTATATTCCCCATATGTGTATCTGCATACCCTATTACCTATCAATTCCACTGTTAAGCATGTACTTTACAGAAATACATCTAGATGGTCATCAAAAGACAGGTTCAAGAATGTTCATAGCAGAAATATTCAAAATAACTAAAATTCTTTGTATAGCTATCCAATGCGCAAAGAGTAGAAAGGAAAATTAAATTGTAGACTGCATGTTGAATGAAAATACCTAGAGCAGTAACAGTGAATGAACGACAATGGTATGAAAGAGTGTGGATGAGTCTCTAATGTTGAGTGAAAGAAGCCAGATACAAGAGACTGTATCTCTAGCACTCAATTTATATCAAGTTTACAAAGAGGAAAACTATTGTATTTAGTAGTGAGCATAATGGTTACTCTTGGGTTGTTAGTGATTGGAAGGGGGGCACAATGAAGGTTTTGATGTGCTGGTAATGATTTATTTCTTTTTATGTTCTTTTAAAGATTTTATTTATTTATTTGACAGAGAGAGAGAGAGAGCACAAGCAGGGGGAGTGGCAGGCAGAGGGAGAAGCAGGCTCCCGGCAGAGCAGGGAGCCCAATGTGGGGCAGGATCCCAGGACCTTGGGATCATGACCTGAGCTAAAGGCAGACGCTTAACCAACTGAGCCACCCAGGCGCCCCGGTAATGATTTATTTCTTGATGTGGGTGCTGGTTGCACAGATATGTTCACCTACTATTATTCTGAACTGTCGCTTAGATTTATACATGTTTTTTTATGTATGTTATATTCTAATAAAGAAATAAAGTCCAAACCTAAAATTACCATGTTTTTTTAAGAGCCACTAATATATTTTTGTCATAGACTAATATAGCAACCCAGAATATCAAACTTCTTTTAAAAAGCTTTGACTCACATGAACGAACCTTGCAAACATTATGCCAAGTGAAAAAAAATACAGTCATATTATGTGAAATGTGCAGAACAGGCAAATCTACAGAAAGCAGACTGGTGGTTCCCTAGGGTCAGAGGGAGATTAGCGAATGACAGCTCAAGGGTATGGGTTTTTTTTAAACTGGGGTGATGGTTGTGCAACTTTGTAAATATACTTTGTTTTTGTCTTGCTTCATGGTCCATGATGCCAGCTGAAGTTGCTGGTATCAGTACAATGAAAAAAAAACTGGCAGGATGGGAGCAAATTATTCTGCCATTCTTCTAGATCTTTGAGTTGTAAATCAAATCTAGGGCCGATCACTCCACACTTGTCTAACACCTGCCTGTGAGGGTCACAACAATTTTCCTAGCTCTATGATCATCAATGATTTCAAATTCACCAACGTAACCATGCTTCATCATCACAGTCAGAAACCAGATGATGACTTTGGAACACTGCCTAAGGAGAACCTGAGTTTGCCTCTGTTTTCAGCACTACTGATGCTCTTGAAAGCATCTGCCAGGATGTTCATGCATACCATTATGGCGGCACAGAAAGGTGGCCGAAAGTAACAATACATTTTAAATGGGTGAACTGTATGGTATGCAAATTATATCTCAATCAAACAGTTATTCCCCCCAAAAAAGCTTTCATCCTAAGGCCACATGTCCTCTCCAAATGACATTAGGTAAATATTTTTGCTTTACAAAAACATAACTTTTTTTCCTTGTTCTAATTAAGCATGACAAGAAAAAAGCAATGGGAGGCTAATCAGTTTTTCTAAAACACCTAATAATGAGAACAATATATGGCCATTACAAATCGATTATACATAAATACCAATTAATTATTAATTTCTGGGGTAAGAGATGAAAATAGTTGAATGAAATGTCCAAATTTTTAAATTTCACTCAACCTATGGGTTCAATCTTCTGCCCACCAGATCCCTTAATTAGAATACCTAATAGTAAAACGTATTGTTTCAATTTTAATTTATTTTCTCTACCTGTGTCGTCCCTTTCCTGAAAATTCCATAAAATACTCTGATGGAGAAAGAGAAGGAAAAAGGGTAAAGGAATGGTCTCTACCGTAAATCACCTCTAGCTCGTGCTGGCCACTATTTCTGCAAAAATGGCAACATCTGATATCTGTGCTGTCCAGTACGGTAGCAAATTCCACATGTGGCTAATGAGTCCTTGAAATGTGGCTACTGTATGACTGAGAAACTGAATTTTAACTGTATTTAATTTTAATTAATTTAAATTTTCATTTAAGCTTAACTAGCCACATGTGACTAGTGGCTACAATAGTGCAGTTTTAGATGAACCATAACTAAGTAACAGTCTTACGACAACTATACACATATTATACTAACAGTGACTCAAAGATTATTGAAGTGAAATACATATGTCTAGCAGATCAATTAAAAGCCAAAAATCAACTTTACAAACTCACCTGGCCATCTTCCATTTTAGCTTTCGGGTAGTTGAGGATTAGTTTTGTAGCTTGTTCCCACTTTGCATGCGTATCTTCCCAAGCCTAAAATGAAGGCAATTACCACTTGAAAGCAACTTTAAACCCAGAACTAAAAATCAATCAGCAGGAGACAGGTCTCAAACTTGGTAGGTATTATAATATCCTACTTGTAACAGGCACATATCTTAGATGTGCTTCAAAAGCTATTCTGGTCACACACACACACACACACACACACACACACACACGAGGCTTCCACATTTGAGGGCGGGGGCCTGGGAGGGCTATTTCTGTTGCTAAGGGCATACCTCGGTGTTTCCTGCAGTGGGATGCTCAATGCGTCTTAGTAGTGCCATCACTCTTTTCTGAAGTGCTGCTCTTCCTAAGCAAAGACAATAGCAAATCAACCTGTTGCACTCAGAGCCCTGCTTGCCAAGGAGAACCTGGCAAGCCCAACCCATAAGGCAGAGTAGGAGGAGGGGAATGAATGCTTCAAATGATAAAGGTGAACACTTCCTTTTGCCGACTTCACAGGAAAGGTATTTAACTTGGACTCTACAATGTCCACAGCATAAAAGAGCTATTCCCACCTATATTTACTCAAAACACGTGCCAGTGTTTAAAACTTCACTATATATAGTTCAGACACAGTAAATAATAAAATGTGCAACTGACAGCAGTTTATACTGCCAGTTTTTAAACAAATGTGCCGCATATTAAAAGCTCAGTGAGATATTAACAATTTATTTCAAATGCTATTTACTTTCACCCTATCTTGTGTAGAAAGGATTTCAGGTTAGCTATTTGAATGAACCCTATAAGCTTACAAAGTAGTTCCTACATTCCTAGCACAATCAGATGTCGTGTGATTCAAGGCAAATGAGTGGGGGGTGGGGAACATTATCCACATTTACCTGTTGACATCATATTGCTGACAGAGGCAAATTCCATAAATGTGTTATAGTTGGGCAAGAAGTTGTGCACGGACACCTCATCCACCCCACACCGGATATCTGCTTCCTCGCAGAGGTGGCGGAAACAGGACATGGCCACCAGAACAGCTTCAGTGTCAGGGCTCCACAGGAACATGTACAGGGCCACTTCTAGTTTAGTCTGAGCTTGTCGGCAGATCGGGGGGGTGCCGCTGCACCCTGCTGCACTATCCTGCGATAGTGGGGATGGGAGGCATTATGTTGGCAACTTAGGTAATTTTATTTACAAAATCCAACAATGCAACACACTGTGTGCCATATATGTCTGCATACAATAACCCACAAAAGCTTTCCCCTGCAATCATGACAGCAATTTTCAAACGCCTAAATATCTTGTCTGAATGAGAAATGAGATTATTTAGACCAACATCATGTTACTATTTGTCCAATTTCAAATCGAACAGGTATTGTCCTATTCCAGATTCTAGAAATGCAGATTAAGCCAACACAAACACAAGTAAAACACACCCACAGCATAAATCTGAATGAAAAATGCAGTGTACTTCTAACTCAATTACAAATGACAAAGGAAGTAATAAGAAATTCTATCTACCTACTGGGGGGAAGAAATAAAGTACACTGCAACAAGGACTAAAATGAGGACACAAACAAGAACTAAATATTGCGGGCGCCTGGGTGGCTCAGTTGGTTGAGCGACTGCCTTCGGCTCAGGTCATGATCCTGGAGTCCCTGGATCGAGTCCCGCATCGGGCTCCCTGCTCGGCAGGGAGTCTGCTTCTCCCTCTGACCCTCCCCCCTCTCATGTGCTCTCTCTCATTCTCTCTCTCTCAAATAAATAAATAAAATCTTTAAAAAAAAAAAAAGAACTAAATATTGCTGTAGAAGGTATACTTGATTCGATTACATTCTTCCAAAAGAAATCCTCATTTACAAAATGAATATAAATTCCATAGTTAACATAGTCAATAGTAAACCCTGTACTGCTTATTTGTTGTTTTGTCCTCAACAGAAGATTATACTGAAAATTAGGGATGAAAAAGCTCGGGTCTGTACTTCTCGATTTTTCAAGTCTAACAATAAAATGCCAGTGGTAAAGTGGACCAGCAAGATCTTCTGTGGAATATCAATATAATCAAGATTCCTGCAGACTATATAATGGCAAAGATTAGGAAAGTTAACCTAACCACCCTACAACAAGGCTGCAAATGCATACTGCTGACCTTCCCATGAAAAAAGCAAACTGATATTTATCTCTACTGATAAGGATTAAAGAATGTACCCTCTAGATTGGTAGCTGTATACTAAATGCCAGAAACAGTTTTTAACAGTAAAGATACCATTAAAAAAAAAAAAAAAAAGGTTTGGTCTATAAAAGAAACTCTTCTGTAATGATTTAATATTTTCACTTGTACTATGATTTTTATTTATTTTATTTTAATTAACATATAACATATTATTGGTTTCAGAGATACAGGTCTGTGATTCATCAGTCTTATATAATACCCAGTGCTCATTACATCACGTGTCTTCCTTACTGTCCATCACCCAGTTACCCTATCCCTCCCACCCTCCTCGCCTCCAGCAACCCTCCGGTTGTTTCCTATGATTAAGATGCTCTTATGGTTTATCTCCCTCTCTGGTTTCGTCTTGTTTTATTTTTTCCTCTCTTCCCCTATGATCCTCTGTTTTGTTTCTTAAATTCTACGTATCAGTGAGATCATATGATAATTGTCTTTCTCTGACTGACCCTTACTGTGATTTTTAAAAAGAATTATGCACACAAATAAAAAATATAAACGCTTATCTATAACATCAAGCAAAATGCTTTATCTCCCAATAAATCTGTATTTTTGGTAGTTGGTACAACTTTTAAACTTCTGGGATATGAATGGTCTTCCTTTATGCAGTAGAGGTTTATAATAATTATAGCTATCAGAGCTTGTAAGTGTCAAATAATCAAGTGCTATTTACACACGATCTCATTTAATCCTCACAATAATTCTGGGGCATAAATTGTTATTATCTCCGTTTTAAAGTTGATGAACTGGGTCACAGAGATGTTAGGAACTTGCCTGAGGTTCCACAAAGAGCAGTAATGGAACTAGAATCTAAGCAGTTCTTTACCACGCTGTATTATCTAGTTGAAATTTACCAAAGTTCATTCCGGAAAAAATATACAGCAGATGACAATGATACAGGAAAACTACAAAAGAAGCTGTTTACCATGGATGAGTTTCCTTTTCCCTTCCGAAGAGAGGCTCCAGGAGTACAAGAAGGTAGTAATTCTTCATGATTCATGGACATCTGACCGGCAGTTCCACTTGAAGGAACATCACATCCTACCCCATAAAGGAAGAGAAAGTGACAGGAACTTCTATCTGCCTGCTAAAAAGAAAAAATAAGTAAGCCTTCTGAAGCACTGATAACCAAGAAAAATAAATACATAATACGAGCTGTCTTCCTGTTTGAGACTATCCTGGAAAACCTCTCATCCCAACTCCCACCCCTTAACTTGAAGAATATGCACTAGAAACCCAGTAATACAAATAATGTTTGTTCAATGTCTTTGAAACTCCTCTTAGCTTTTCACCCTTCAAAGCATCAGGAACAACAGATTCTAGAAATGCAAAATTAACATTTCTAGATCTAACATGGACAGAAGTAAAACATCAACAACATAAATCTACCATATGAAAAATATAATGTACTTCTCAGTTGATTATAAATGAGAAAGATTTTCTCCCAGAAGATTTTATCCTGTGCCATGTTAGGATAATTTGAAGCTGACTCTTTTGAGATTAAGTTCCTCTGGACCAGTAATTAACACTGGTTTGTATGCCAAGTATGTTGAAAGGATAACTTTACTGACCAGACTACTACAGATTGATTACTAGATTACTAATGCTTATACTCTGGAGAATTATACCACAGACAAGTCTACCCAGATGCCAACTCACCATTAGCCCATTTGTAAACAAAAAATTTAACAAGCCACATGTTACACTGAAAAGCATGAATTTAATACATTTAAGATTTTTTTGTAGCTATGATTCTAGAAATGGATAAAAATTCATTGGATCAAGTACTCCTAAAATTCTGACAAAATAGAAAAAAATTTTAATTGACTATAGCTCTTCTCTGGCCCCCTAAAACCCTGTCCCCATGTTTTAACAGTTAGGAATCAAAACTTTTCATTCAGCCCTAGGGAAGAATACTCAGTTATTCAAAGAGGTGAAACTGTTATGGCAGGAATATAAATAAACTTAGATTAAACATCCCCAACCTCTTCCCTTCAGTTTCTTGATAGATAACATTCTCTGACTAGCCTAAGCCATAAGATTCAAGCCTTATGCACAAACTTAAGATGGAGACGACTCCTAGACTCCACAGAGTCCTGCTTAACTCAGCTAGAACTTATCAGGACTGCAGCTTTAAGGACAAAGGCTCAGAATAATTTTTAAAATGTTCACTTGTCAGCAATCATCTTCTGGCACATATATTTCCCTTGAAGACTTTGTAAGCAGAAAGAGCTAAAGTAGGACTTAATTTGGCTAATATACATTTCCTTAATCTATTCCCATTACCCCCAAATATTCTTCCATTTTAAAGATGTCATTTTGCTTACCTTATTTTTAAGAAGAAATTTATTCCTGCAGATCAAAATTTCCCGCAACCATTTGAGAATTTCTGTGCTACTAAGCATTTGATGGCTAGTTAATTTCTTGCAGATGTAAAAAAGCATTTGAGAGCTGCAATAACATAAAGTTCATTGTTATCAGTATCATCAATAAATAACCTCACAGAGAGAATGACATTCTCTCATAAGGAATACAAGTTTAGAGAAGCTAGGATTTGTTTTAGAGAAATGGTTATCAAAATGTTAACAGCATGAAAATCAAAGGGAATAAGTCTACAGACTACATTAAAAAAAAAAAGAAAAGAAAAAAGACTATGGACTCCAGGAAACAAACTGAGGGTTCTAGAGGGGAGGGGGGTGGGGTGATGGGTATTAAAGAGGGCACGTTCTGCATGGAGCACTGGGTGTTATACGCAAACAATGAATCATGGAACACTACATCAAAAACTAATGATG